AGACTATTCTGCAATGCCTTCTCATGAAGAAATGCATATTGGGTTAGTCTTTTACATACGTGACTGGTGTGTGTTAGGACCCTGTTTGGGCTATTATTCTCTTTTAAGTGGGAGACACGCTCTCTCTCTTTTTCACTGTTGTGTTGCAAATTAAGTCTTCAAATACTAATGTCTTAATTCCTCCTTCCCTAGGACGTGTGAAATTTCTTCCCACTCTATGAAAGTAGATTGGGGCTATGTAGTTTACCAAAAGTTATTAGAAAGTAATGTCTTAATTCCTCCTTCCCTAAAACCTGTGAAATTTCTCATTTTATGAAAGTATATTGGGGCTATGTAGTTTACCAAAAGTTATTAGAAAGGGAATAGTTATAACTCGAGAAAGCCTATAACAAAGTGGAGTAGGATATTTTACGAAAAATCATGGGCCAGATTCGGAGCACGGAAGAAACTTTGAATAGGTGCCTCTAAAGTGCACCCTTTTCGATTTTGTTTAATCGCAGAGAAAGAAGCCTCTTCAGCGCACCAAGATCACATCTAATCTAATACCCCTTTAGTAATGCTGAAGATTCACATGTGAGAAACTTATGGCCTTTTCTGAAGTGCCTAGAAGTAACAGGGTTAAGGGGTCGTTTGGATCCTAAGGTAAACAAAACATAGTTTTGTATAACCATGTTATCCCACAAAAAAATACGTTTGACAACTTTTGGGAGACACAATCTTGTTTTCTGTAACAAAAAAAGAGGGCTATACAAAACCAAGAAAAAAAATTGAGTTATCCAAAACGTTGTTTTGTGTAAGTATGAAAGAAGGAATACAACTTGTGACAATACTATTTGACACACGAGACCTTCCCACTTTATTAACTACAGTTAATTATGCCAAAACATATACAAATTGGAGAGAGAAACCACCTCAAATTTTAAATTTTAGCGAAAGAGTATCTTAAAATTTTAAAAAGAGAAACTATATCATATTTTAGAGAGTGGAACTGCTAATTTTTTTTTGAGAGAGAAACTCTCATATTTCAAGTTTTAGAGAGAGAAACTATATCAAATTTCAAGTTTTAGAGAGAGAAAGTAACTTAACATTTTTTAGAGAAACCATATCACATTTTAGAGAGAGAAATTACTTAAAAAAATTTAGAGAGAGAATCCTTCTCAAAAATTTTAGAGAGAGAAGTTATATCAAATTATAAATTTTAGATGCACAAAGTATCTTAAAATGTTAGAGAGAAATATATCAAATTCTAGATATAGAAACTACCTGAATTTTTTAGAGAGAAATTATTTCTAGAATTTTAGAAAGCAGAACCATATCAAATTTGAATTTTTACAGAGAGAAAGTATCTTAAAACTTTAGAGAGCAACTATCAAATTTTAGAGAGAGAAATTACTTGAAACTTTTTAGAGGGAGAAAATATCTCAAAATTTTTAGAGAAAGAAGTTATATCAAATTTCAAGTTTTACAGAGAGAAACTACATAATAATTTAGAGAGAAACAACCTGAAACTTTTTAGAGAGAGAACCATCTCAAATATTTTAGAGAGAAGAATTATATCAAATTTCAAGTTTTAAAGAGAAAGTATCGTAAAACTTTAGAGAGTGAAACTATATCAAATTTTAGATAGAGAAATTACTTAAAAAAAATTTAAAGAGAGAAATTTTCTCAAATTTTAAGTTTTACATAGAGAAAGTATTTTAAAGTTTAGTGAGAGAAACTATATCAAATTCTAGAAATGAAACTACCCGAAAGTTTTTTGAGATTCAAAATATTTGGAGAGAAACTTTATCAAATTTAAAGTTTAAGACAATTTTCTCTCTAAAAATGTTGAGATAGTTTCTCTCTCTAAAAATTGGTATAGTTTCTCTCTCTAAAATTTTGGCATAAATTGTTATAGTGGGAAATTTTGTATGTATTGTTGCATACCAAATATGTGTAACGTAATGAAAATATTTTGCAAGAAAATATTTTATATCAACCAGAGTTATGCAAATAGATGACCCAAACGTGGATTTTGCATAACCTAGGTATTATCTACGAGCTATCCAAACAGTAATTTCTCAAAAACCAGGTTTTAACATAACCATCCAAAACATGGTTTTGTTTACCCTAGGATCCAAACGAGTTAACCCAAGGAAAACTAAATCGATAGGATTAGATGTGAAGATCATGCATGATGATCAAACAATTCAAATATTAGCTAGAATCCTTGGGTGTGGAGTACCCAAGTAAATATATTGGACTAGAATCCTTGGGTGTGGAGTACCCAAGTAAATATCTTGGACTCCGGCTTAACTTAAGGCATCCCCCCAAGAGCATTTAGGGATAAAAGTAATTCAAAAAAGTTTTGAATAAGAACCTCTCCTCCTATGGACAACCTTTTAATTTTTGTTTTAAGTATACACCAACATTCCCAGTATTTTTGTTTTAACTATACACCAATATTTTTGTTTTAAGTATACACCGATATTCTTTGTAGGACTTCCCATGGTGAAGTGTTTATGTTGCAAGTGCTCTTGGTTCTACAAAGACTGTTGGTGTATACTAAAACAAAAATATCACTAATAAATTCAAAGCACTCAAATTGAACTTTGATAGTAGCTCCAAAAGAGCATTACTAAGGGTGTTGTAATAGAACAAAATATGGTAATATGATATTAACATACTAGGATCCATGTGGTGCCAAATCAGCTAATGAAGGTGATAATTAAAAGAGAGAAGCAATTAAAAATTTTATTTGAGAAAAGTAATAAAATTTCCAATGAGTCTTTGAGGTAGGAATCGAACTTGAGATGTGGCGTTGCTAAACTTCATAAGCTAACCACTCGAGGCCAAGCTTCCTAAAAACGTCTCAACTTCTACAATCGTTAATTTGAACAAGAATAAAAGAAATATTTCGGCATGCCTTATACTCTTTTTTATCATTTATTTTAATTCTTCAAAAATCCTTGTGCATGCACTTTTTAGAGCTCTAAATTCATGGATTTGTAGAAAAAATTAAAAACCTGATTAGGTGAACTCAACCATTTTCTTCGTATTTTAAACAAATTTAAAAAACAGGGAATAAATAAGGAGGGGCATTGAAAGTTTTTTATTTATTTATTTTAATTTTTTTTACTTTTTAATAATTCAATGGGAAAGGCATGCCCAACCTATTTTTTTTTTTTCAAATAGTTTAGAAATTAGCTTTTGAACGAGTTAGTGGAGAGGTGTCCGTGAAAATGAAAACCACAACGTGGTGATTAAGGTGTGGGTCCAACCCAACCCCACCCCACCCCACCCCACCCCACCCCTTCCCTTCCCTGGCTAGGGGAGATGTAATGGCTTAATGCATTTCTTTCTTTTATTAATGATAATTTAATATTATAGTGCAAGGCGCCAAGGCCTCTTTTTGCAAGTTGCAGATCTGCATTGAGTATGGAGTTAGAGATAGAAAGTTGACCCCACCACTGCCCATTAACAACCACCAAAATATCTCATAAACCTTCAGATTCTACTACAGGAATCTCCTTCTGCAAATATTCCATGGAAAATGACTATAAGGAAGGTCCATAAAACTTTACATAATTAACCAATATGCCCTTCATCTTCTCTAATTTTTCCTGTCATTTAATTGGGCAGATGCTGTCCTGATTCCCTTCAGATTAGTTTAATCTTTTAGAGAGAGAAAGAGGGCCACAACCAGCAAAGCTTTATACCTTCTACAATTTCAAAGCATCAAAATCAGAAGAGAGAGAGAGAGAGGAACTACCTTCTAAAACTTTAGTGAACCCCCATAATGGGATGTCAGGAAATTAAAAATATGAAGCACAGCTTAAAATACCCTAAATCAAAAGGTTGGATACCAAGAATAAAAGTTTATATAAGGTTCACACTTTAAATTGTATTGTCGAATCAAGGTGCACCTCAAAAATCTTTCAAAAAAAGTTTTTTTTTATATTAAAAAATTATCTAATTGAAAATCTTGATATCGAAAAGTATGGATATGGAAAAACAAAAAGATTTCAAGTCTCAAAAATAGTTCATCTTGCACCACATTATCTGGACTCTCCATTTTCAAAATCTTTGTGCGTTTATAGATCTGAAATATTTTTGGAGTTTAAAATTCTACAACTAGATATAAAAAACAGACTTTCAACACATTTTAAAAATGTTTTACACCAAAATTGTATCTTATGACAAAGTTTAGAGTGCGCTTTAGTTTGATTGTTTAAATTTTCTATAAAAAACACACAATATTTTCTTTTTACAACCGTAAGATATGACGCTTTTGTCGTACAACTGTCTTTATTGACTATTATAAAATCAGTTAAAATAGCCTATATATATATATATATATATACCATTCTTATAACCTCTTGTACACATATTAATCGGATTATGTAATACATATTCTATGTTGTTTCTGTAATACATCTTTTATGGGGGCCAAATGGCCTGGAGATACAAAAAGACAGATATTTACAGTTCCCCCCCCCCCCATAATAAATGTGATTAGAGCTTCAAGCACAATTCATGGTCCAATCATCTAAACAACATACACTAAACCGAATGCAGATCAGAGAACACAGAAAAGAGAATCACACACATTTAACAAAATAAGATAAAATACAAGCAAAATAATGTTCAGGCTGCAGGGGCAAGAAGCTCATGGCAATCAGGTACATCAGAAGGGTCAACTCTGAATCTCTCTCTCAAACTCACCAACCGAGGAACGTTTACAGAGAGAACCCCATCACGAAATTCAGCTGAAATCTGAGTGATGTTTACCCCTTCTGGTAATCTGAATTTCCTCATAAACCTCCTCCTCCTCATTAATGGCCGCTCTCCTCCTTCTTCCTCTCTCATTTCATCAGTAGCCTGATTCTCTGTTCGGATTATGAGATAGAGAGAGTCCTCCACTTCCACTCTGATATCCTCCTTTCTCACTCCTAACCCAGAAGAGAATTCCCCAAATTGAATAAGATTAGAGAGAGAAACTGAAATCAAACAAAGTGAGAGAAATTTCCAAATTGAATAACATTAGAGAGAGAAAGTGCAATAAAACCTAGAGAGAGAAAGTACCTGGGAGATCTGCTGAGAAGACGTGGGCGTGGGGAGTTTCCCTCCATTCAACGTGGTTTTCTGGAGTCATCATTCTCACCCTGTAACTTGCCAGGGGGAAAGTAGAGGCCATGAAATATTGCAGAGAGGGGTTCATAGCAGAGAATTCCATTGAGGCTTTGGGGCAAGATGGGCAAAACCACAGTTGGGGCTTGATGGGTATGGGTGTCTGGTTTTGTGGGTTCCTTGTCGGACCTATATAAAACCAGAGGGCTCGATCCACTTGACAGGGTTGTTACTAAAGTACCCCTACCTTTTGCATTGATTAGTAGATATAACCCTCTTCTGGTTTTGGCTTTATTTTAGGGGAGTTTATACTAAGATACTATTTATTTATTATTATTATTATTAGAGTAATGATATTAAGAGACCTTCCACACTCATGTGTTTAGGATTTTAAAAGATCATCATTAAATTTGATACAGATCTTTAGAAAAGTTGTCACATGAGTGTGAGACTTGACTTTTTTAGAGATCTGTGCCAAATTTAATGATGATCTTTTAGGGTCCTACAGATATAGACGTGGGAGGGTCTCATAGAATCATTATTTTTATTATTATTATTTATTTTTATACATGAAAGTTATAATTTTTCTCATTTATTAGTTGTCAAATTGGATGGCGATGATTCAGAAAGTTATAATTTTTTTTTTTTTGAACTTTGTGTCTATTCAATCACACTCTTACAATCACCCATTTTAAAATTTAGAAACAAAAATGATTATGACCTCTACGTATAAAAGATAAATGGTTTATTTTAAAACAATTCCTTATTTTATAGGGCAGAATGTTGAGAAATAACATACCTATAAAATGAGTGTAATGATGATCTTGAGATGGATGAGTTACAAGACAAGAATTGATAGAATTCGAAATAAATATATTTGAAGAACTTATCTCTGATTCCAATAGGTGAAGATAAGAGAAAATAGATTTAGGTAGGCTGGTCATGTACAATGCAAACCCAGTACAACACTTTTTGGCAGCTCGCCTTCATGCCGAGTCTTCCTTTGCCGCCAACTCTCATTGTAACTTTGAAAGCACTCTAGCAAGGTCAAACTAACGGCAAGTTTTTGATGTTATGCATACGTTACACATCTTCGCACTCGCTACTATGGCTAGGAGCAATTGTTTTGATGTGTAACATTAAAGCACTCATTCCGCTACGTAGCCAAGTCTTGTCAAAGCCAACAAACTATAACTCAAAAACAAGATGCAACAACTAGCGTGACAGCCGCTGTGCTAAACATGCATTCGTTTTCTTGCAAGAAGCAACAATTAAAATCCAAGTGGAAGGCTAAAAGAAAGTAAGAGATATACCCAGAAAAACAGTTGAAAGTAGTGAAAAAAGATATGGGGAGATATGACGGCAGTGAGGGAATGAAACTTGATAAGTAACATGATAGACAAGGAGGATTTGTGTAATCGATGTAAAAAAAAAGGAGACTCTGACTCTAATGAAGATGATTCTTTTCCTTGTCTTCTTGTGTAATTGAGGAGATAATAGCAACCCTAACCTTTGGGTAGATAAATGGTACACAATATTCACATGCATGAATTTGGAAACATCACTGCTCATCTAGAATTAGTATGGGTGTTTTTACCTTAAAAGTACTCGCGCACTTTATCTCTAGGAAAGAAGTCGCGATTATCACGACAAATCTTGGGGCGTGACGTAAATCTTGAAATTTTTTTTGCACACTTAATGACTCAATTTCAAGCCAAAGTTGATGGTGATCTACTTGTGCCATAGGCTTTTCATCAATATTTAAAAAAAATATGTCGTTGACCCAGATCGCCAGTCCTGAAAATCGATATGGATCGGCGGTCCTACACAGTAGATTGGCTGGATCTGTTTTATCCGACTACAACAAAAAAATAATAATAATAATAAAAAATATTATTATAAATATTTGTTGTGGTGTTTTCGGACAGTGCATTACACCGTGTTTTCTTTCACCTGGCGAGCCGAGTGGGCTTTTAACCTTATGGGCAGGCATTCAACTATTGTTATCAAGAGAACGTATACATGTTATGCTGCATTTGGAGACGTCGGGACGGCATAAATGTGGACCTTTGATTTGGAAAGATCTTTAGAGCAGCACAGCAGTTTTAAACATAAGAACGTTTGAAGGTGATGTTTTGGATATGGAAGTTGTAAAGGATAGAATCTTAAGTGATTTATGGAACTAGTTTTCAGTCACCAAAGATGGGATGGCTGTCTCTAAGCTGCTGGCCATGTTGGGCGGGGCGAGTAAATCATCAGTCTGGTGTGTGCAGCATGGTGTATATTATTGGTGATTGTAATACGATATTGATCGATTTCTCACTTATAAGCCTATGTTGTTGCCTTCTTGTCATCCAAATCAATTTATCTTGGGTCAATTTGGATCAAAACTTATTATTTGAGGATTTATTCATCAATTTTTGGTGAAGAAGAGCCGGAATTTGAACCAATCCGCCTAAACATGGATTTCTCTCTTGTTTTTCTTTCAAATACATTGAAATCTATTGCGGTTTATTATTGATTCAACCATCTACAAGATCCCCATACTTATTTGTTGGATAAAATGCTAGAGATCAAGACATCTGGCCCAAAAAATCTCAGTTGTAGTGAGAAAACAGTTTTTCAAAACAAACCCTAATCTATTGGTCAATCTATCAATTTCTTCCTTGTTTCATGCCCAAATCTTTTGAAAACTGGTTCCTTTTGATCACGATTCAACCCTCTTCATTAACACCATGATTATTTTTTTGATTAATGGCTGTAAAATAATAATTTTTGCACTAGGGCATGGTGATCTCAAATGCTAATGTAACTTATTTGTGTATTTGCTGATTTACTCACAATAATCTAGGTCTTATGGCTAAATCTATGGCTTACCGTATGAGTTTTTTTGAAATATATAAAGCCTTAGTTCAAGTGGCAGACAAAAAAAAACAAGAAGTAGGCTCAAAAGAACATTTTTACAAGTAGTGACAAAAGATATGGGGATTTATGACCTCATTGAAAGTATGACCTTTAATAGAGCAGAATAAGATATAGAGATTTATGACCTCACTGAGAGTATGACCTTTAATAGAGCAAAATGATAGATTAAGATTCACGTAGCCGGCCTCAATTAATTGAGAAAAGACTTTGACGATGATGATACGCAGTCTATATTTTTAAGTTTGTATGATATTTTGAGTTTGCTCTAAGAAAATTTTCAATAATTACAAAATTTACAAAAATTCTACTCCCCTATGTCACTGTATCTCCTTTTGGGCTCTCTCTCAGCTCTTATCTTTTCCCAGCTTTTACTCATTCCTATTTGATAGGACCTCCTATAAAAATACCTAGCATTGATGAACGTGTAATTAATTCTGCTGCCGCAACACAATTGTAGTTTGTAAAACCTTAAGCCTTTGAAGAAGCTGAAATATAATTAAGGCAGAAAACCCATTCTAAAAGATGTACCAAACTTTTTGAGCTGTTGCCAACTCTTTGCCAATTTCTGCAAAAAGGAATTTCTCTTTTGAGCATTAAAATATAATAATTCTTCAATAACCAAGACCACATTTATAACCCCTTTGACAGCAAGAACAAGACCACAATTATTTATCTCTTTATAGTTGATAAATAAGATTACATTTATCCACTAAGAAAACAACAGATAACATATAAGCTCTATATGACTCTTTGCCAGCTACATCATTTCATCACAACTCGATCGATTCCAACTTCATTCTACAAATTACACCAGAACCTTCAATGGAGAAAAAAAGAGAAGCCCAATTGTTTTTATTGGTAATGAGCCGGAATATCCTGACCTTTCACTTACAAAGAGTTTGGAGAACTCACGTATTCACCCCAAACACAAATCCATTACTGAAAGAGGGAAGATTTATCGATGCACCCTGAATCCTCACAGGAGAACGGAATGGGTTGGGGGTAACAGGATAGGTTACATGAAGGCCAGCCCCACGGAGAACTTGCTTTGCGTTTGAGCAAGAGAGCTCAGAAAACTCTGTGAAATAAGCCGGCAAATTCCTTGTTTCGATCATTTCAAGAGCTTCTCCCCAACTTGGGCAGCTCTCTAACCCTGAATTTAGCGCCACCACTACATGGGGAGAAGGAAGATAACCCATCTCTTCCTGGTACAAACCTCTGACTAGACTCACCCTCACTCTATTGTTTATAACAGACATGGTGCCTGATAAGCTTGTAGGCACCTCTGGCCCGACCATGGTTATTTGTAAACTCCCCGACCCATTGAGTAGGTGACCTATTTCAGTGAAGGCAGGCATGAAATCGAGCTCAGCTTCAGGACCCACATAGTGGATAACTACTTCCCTGCCTTTGAGCAAGAGACTCTTTGAGCCAATGCTTAGGGCTGTTATAATGTGGTGTAAGGTTAAGGGAAAGGTGAGCAGCGCAGAGGCAGGGCTGGAAAATGGGAGACACCTAAGATTATAGTACTCAGCCCAACCGGATAGAAGAATAGGAGGGCTTGGAGATGGTTCTTGGTTATGGTTAATAAATGGGGAATCAGGTGGATAGTTTGCAATTCCCCATGATTCATTGATGCTTCCCCCTCCGTTGAGAGCGGGAAGCATGCCAAAAGGGCAGTGGTTATAGCAATTGCAGAGCCTTCTCCACATACCTTTTTGATGGAGACCTACTGATTCAAGCCATTTACAAGGGTTTTCGAGGTAACACGGAAAAGTGAATACCTTTGTTTCGAGCTCTTCCTCTCTCTCCATCATTGCCTTGTAAAGCCCACAAATGCTTTTGTGGGTCTCTTTCCAATGTTGCCTTTGACAAATGGCGCCACAATATATAACCGCCCTACATCTCCCACAAAGAAGCGATTGCTCCCCTTGAACCTCTTTCTCACACATAGAGCACCTCCTTGATGCATAAAAACCAGTGAAATGCTCTATTGAATTCATTGAATCCTCCTCTTTTGGTTGCTCAATGAGGCTTGTGGGGGATTCAATAATCTTGGTTGGGATTGAATTAGACTTGGGTTTCTCACTGTAGGCTTGATTAGGTGGGTGCGATACTGTGACTGCAACTAAGTCCCAACCTTTCTGCATCTCAACAGGCCACTGAACATCCACTGTCTCAATTAGGGTGTCGAAAATGGTTAACCTTGTGCGCTTTGGAGCAGGTGCCTTCGCCTGTTGTAGCAAAGGATGAACCAAAGCAATGGCCTTCATAAGTGCATATAAAAACCTAAGCTCCTCGAGGCTCGGGTTTCTGAATTCAAGCATGCCCAGATGGGTGCAGCGAGCAACCTCCATCATAGGAAACCTATCAGGCCCTGAAGATTCTAAGGATAAAGACCTTATCATCCTCTTATTTACAGGAAACATAAAAGAGTCGAGACCGAATGTTACTCTGAGAGTTTCAATGTTGGGGACTCGATTGGTTTCTCTTGACCCAGTCATTTTTAGGGCATCTTGCTCAGTCCTGAACATGTTAAAGCCAACGTCTCCACCATCGCCACCTGTGAACTGAACATAGGGAAACAGCTGCTTTCTACTTGACCAATCTAAATCCTTGCCCACTCTGATGCTGAATAGATGACCAGGTCTCAGTCTTTTCCATGGGTCCGTTCTGTATAGAGCAGCAGCTGCTCTGTAAAGAGACTTTATGAAGCTAGGGTTGATCCCTTCTATCTTGAGAAGACAGGCTCCTGAACCAGGACCGAGGCCTGGTCCAGATCCAAACTGTTCTTGAAACCTTGTAAAGAGGTCTTTCAAGTGCAGATCCATTGAACAAAATACACTTGTCTTTCCAAATGAAATGCTCTAGTATTTCTAATGACTCTTTGAACGTACTGCAAATTCTAGATCACTTATTTGTTTTGCTTCTTTACGGGCATTGGAACTTGAGGAACCTTAAAGCATCTCCAAATGCTTTTGGCCTACTAATGACCACGGTTTTCTGCAATATCGTGTCAAAAACACCAAAACAGCAGCAAACATCTCAATCAGCATGTAAATCAACACCTCTTTGAATTCCTTTCAAGAAACTTCTTTTTTCTTTGGGGAATTCCTGAAATACATGTGAATCCTTATTGGTCTTTGATGGAAAGTTTCACAAACTCAATTTTTCCAATAAATCCTAAAAAATACAAGAATTCTGATCAAAATTCCCAAAGTATAGAGACAAACAGTAGATCTTCATTCATTCCATGATCTCTTTCACTTTAATTTCAAAAAGTTTCTTGAAACCTCAATGAGTTCCTCAACCTGGTTATTCGTTCCCCTCCGAAATACTTAAATCATCTCCAAAACTAAGCAATTCGTATCATAAACAGCCAGCAATATAAATGCATTTAAAATCATAAAATATGCACCACTGAAATCCAAAGTCTATATACACGAGAAGCATAAGATCCTTTTAACTGCAAAGGCGGATCGACAGATTGAAGCTACTGATCTGAAACAATAACTCCAAATCCAGCACAAAATGACTAATTATATCCACTAATGCATTATCCAGAACAAGTTCTTCATTTTCCAAGTAAGTATATCCTCAATTTCAAAAAGGAACACAGAGTTCATGGAGTCCTTCAATTAACAATTTATAGATCAAATAATCGAACTGAAAATATAACTAATCAACAACAAGTGATAGCCTAACTACCAGATCTGAGTCAAATGTGTCATAAAAACTGGATGCGAGATAGAGAGGGAGGCTTTGGAGCTTTTACTGTGGAGAATAAACCGCCATGGATGAAGCAAAGGTTTTGATTTTCAGTAGAAACGAGAGAGTGACGGGGTTTATTACTTTTGTAGAGTGAAAAATACCGGTAGACCGAGACCTTTTTTTATTAGGGTGCGGTTTGTATAAGGCTGAGGCTCTAAACAACCAAAGTAAAACGCACTTTCAAATAATGTCGAGAGATGTGGTAATCGAAATTTTTGTGATAGCGCTAAATTATATTTTCATCTTTAATTATAAAAATTAAAGCTTAAAAAGTAGTGCATATTGAGTAAATCTATGAAAATTTAATAATCTTGAAAATTGGATTTTCAAGGTCTAAAAATATAATATAAAAAGAATTATTTTCAAAACTTGAAATTCATTTTTTTCTCGTCTCGAGATGATCAATTTAAGGATTTTTGGGTATCAAAACAACCTGATCTAATGAAATTTTGACGTCCGCCTTATTTTGTTTGTTTAGCGCCTCGCACTTATATAAACTTTTTCATTTCCAACTAAAAGTGTACTATTGTCCATACGAGAATTGGATGCATATGGTCATGAGATTCATCACGGTTCATTCATTAGATGGATGGTGATGAAATGATAGTTAGATTTTCCAGGTGATATATATCCTATATAATCATATTATCTTTTAAAAAAGTGATTGGAACACTCCGGACCAAAATTTCTTGGCAAATGCTTCTGAAGTACTTTTCAAACGACACCACTAATCTTGATACAATTTATTTTTTGCATCCACCTGCCTAGTAAGAGAGTAATATTTTTAGAACTGAAATACACCCATGTAAATTTTTTGAAATTTGATATATTTTCTCTCTAAAAATTTAAATTTGATATGGTTTCTCTCTAAAAATTTTGCTATAGTTTCTCTCTCTAAAAATATTGTGATAGTTTCTTTCTTTAAACTTGAAATTTGATATAGTTTCTCTCTAAAAAAACCTAATGAGATAGTTTCTCACTCAAAAAATTGCCTCTCTCAAAAATTTGAAATAAGAGAAAATCATTTGGCTTGATTATTTATGGGTATGTGGAAGGGACATTGTTATGATCAAAGGACAGTACGCTCATCTAGGGGAGGTAAACTCAACGTTTGGATCAATTAAAAAAAGGGAAACGGTTTCTAGGAGTCTATGTAGAAATGAGTCATCTCCTAAAAATTTATTTTGAGATAGATTTTG